TTCAGCGTCCACACTCGGTACATATTTTATGTACTAGTAACATAATTTCGTACAAGGTACATATTGGTTACATATTTTTAATAAAAGTGCATAAAGTACATTTTTTTAAAAATGTAAGTTTTTCTGAAGCCGGTTCTGTGGAATTTGTCGATTGCATTGTTGCGCCAATCGGCTATGCTCGGGAATCTCGGCCGTATTAACTCTAGTGCAGTAAACGGGTTGCTTTTGTACGTGTGTATTCTAAGAGTAAGAAGCATACAAATTCTCCATCTTTCTCTATCTATAACATTTATATTAGAGGGAGAGAGAGAGAGACAAGCTATAATCTGTGTTGTGTACCAAATTTAAATCTTATTTGGAATTACAACTTTGTTGCTTTGTATTAGAGATGGGCGTTGCAGTTCACTTTGCTGAATAGTTCATTTGTGAACTACTCACTTCAAAGAATAGTTCATTTTTACAGTTCGAAATGAACTGTAGTTCTTTTGCCTTGACTCAATTTTACTACCTATCTTCCCCACCACGAATGAGCTGCTCAGCTCAGCATCGACACCTGACAGCGGCAGCGGCAATGGTTTGTTTTTAGAATACTGAAATAATTTGTTCGAAATGAATCGTTCACGAACTATACATCTCTCAATTCTTAAATCTCCAGTAGCCAGCGACAGTAGCACGATCCTCATCGCATCACCGGTTGGTTTCGGTTTCAACCTATGAACATAGTATAATCTAGCTAGACGCACGCGCACGTTCGCAGTTCAAAACGAACTATACATTGAAAGAATGATGAAACAGTTCGTTCAGTTCGTTGGAAGTGAATGGTTCTTTTCAACTATTCGTTCACGAACTACACATCTCTATTTTGGATTTGTGGAATACTTTTATCGATTAAAATGATGCAATACTTTCAACCCTAGGAAAATGTAGCTTAATTCAATTAAATAAAAATGTACTTAAACACTCGTTTTGTTATAATTTTCTTCTATTTGATTTTAATCAACTTATTCGTATTTTTTATAAGGTATGCTGATTATGTGGATTCATTTTTGTGTTTTAATTGTGCAGAAGATGATTTACTTTATACCGAATTTGATTACGTTATTGGTAAGTATTATTAAAAATTTGAAATTAAGTAGCTACATTAATCTTACCCAGTGGGTTGTGGCTCTGCTGGTGCGTTAGTCGCCCAAAGACTAGCCGAAGATAAGAATGTAAAAGTTCTTATTTTGGAAGCAGGAAAGCAAAGTAGTGCACTGTTAGATATACCATCAATGGGTCTATTACTACAAAATACTCTCTACGATTGGGAGTACGTGACTACCCCACAAACATCGTCTTGTTTTGCATTAGACAATAACGTAAGTAGAATTTGACATTAAAATAAAATTATACATAAAAAACTCTACAGGCAAGCCATTGGCCAATGGGGAAAATTGTTGGAGGCACTAGTATGTTAAATAATATGGTTTACGTTAGAGGACATCCAGAGGATTTTAAGCAATGGTTTATTAATAGAAGTAATTACGATTTTATGACGGACGTTTTGCCATATTTTGAAAAATTAGAAAATGAAGTGCAGGATGGTATGAAACAATTATACTAGGTTTCTTTTTTCAAATCCAATTTATTTTAGATGATTTAAGTGGTTCGATGTATCTTAGCGATTTGGTTTTCAAATCATCTTTGCCGGATTTAATATTAAAAGCTGGAAAAGAGTTAAATTTCGGAATTTCAGACGTAACTAATTGCAAACAAGGTATCTAAACTGACTATTAGTTTGTACTATGTAAATGTGATTCAGAAGAAATATTTTAGGTTTTGGAATGCCAAAAGTTAATATGAAACAAGGAAAACGTTGGACGTCCTCTCATCGTTTATTGAAATTAAAAAACAAAAATGTTTTTCTCCGAACAAATAGAGTAGTGGAAAAAGTTTTATTTCACCAAAACTTTGAAGCTTATGGCATTCAATATTTACATCTAGGCAAATCATACAGGGTAAAAGCGTCCAGAGGCATAATACTATCCGCAGGGGTTATAGGTACTCCTAAAATCCTTCTACTCTCGGGAATAGGCCCCAAAACTCATCTAGACAAACTAAATATCCCTACCAAAGTTAACTTACCTGTGGGAGACAACTTACAAGACCACATAACGACAGGATTGGATCTTATATTATTAAATCAAACCTTAGGCATCGGAATTGAACAAATGCTTTCCCCTTTCTCGGTTTTTGAATACTTTTTGTACGGTACGGGGCCATGGACCACAGGTGGATGTGAGGTTCTAGCATTTGTTAACACAGACAGTACTGATGTTAATCGTGACACACAACCTGATTTGCAATTTATGGTAATGCCGTTAGGTATAAACGAAGATATCGGTGTACACTTAAGACATTTAATGGGTATAAGCGATTATACGTGGAATAATTACTTCAGTTATTTAAATCAGATGAAAGCGATGACTATTTTACCGATATTATTGCATCCGAAGAGTCGCGGTACTGTTCGTTTGAGAGACGCTAATGTTAACAGCCTGCCGATTATTGATCCAGGATATCTAACTGAACAAGAAGACATTGAAGTTCTGTTAAAAGGCATAAATTTAATAAAGAAGTTGATAAATTCGAGGTCTATGGAGAAACTCGGGGCGAAATTAAACACGAATATATTTCCCGGTTGTGAAAATTTCAAGTTTGACAGTAAAGCGTACTGGGAATGTTACGTAAGACATTTAACGATAACTTCCTACCATCCTGTCGGTACGTGTAAGATGGGTCATGAACAAGACGTTTCGGCTGTGGTAAATTACGATTTCCAAGTTAAAGGTACTAATAATTTGTACGTCATTGACGCCTCAGTGATGCCGACTATAACAAGCGGAAATGTGAACGGAGCGGTGTTGATGTTAGCGGAAATGGCTAGTGATATTATCAGGTCCAAAGACTTTTTCAGTAGGAAAAAGTGTAGCGTTATAGAGATTTTTGTATCCAAAGATTTTTGTTAATATATGTATTTATTATTACAAAATATAAAAATATTGAAATTTACATTGAAAAATTTATTTGCAACTCTGAGTATTTTACTTATATTTCGTATTACCACTTCAGCAGGGTTCATAGCGGCCGGGAAAACTGGGAATACCGGGAAAAGTCAGGGAATTTGTTATTCTTCATAAAAAACAGGGAAAAGTCAGGGAATTTGTTATTCTTTATAAAAAACAGGGAATAGTCAGAGAAATTTAGAAATATCCGTGAAAGTCAGGGAATTTGATGCTTGCAACTGGAAATTTTGTGAAAGCCGGCCCTGGGTTCTTGAAAGAAAAAACTATTTGTGATTTGGAAACCATTATAAGAGGTTCTTAGGGTATAAAAAAGATTATGGAGTCCAGTCGAGGAAAAATTTAATGCATATAAACACCAATTAGTATGTAAAAATGAACTACAAGTGACCTGGATTTTTTTTTATGTCAGGGAAAACCTGGAAAAATCAGGGAATTCTTTATTACTTTTGAACTATGAACCCTGTTCGGTCTCTATATGGTATATGCACCCTGAAACGCAAATGCAGGTGAATCCGTGTCACCGATTATCAGTCCATGATATATGAGTGCAAAAAGATATTGAGCATAAATTTAATAAAGTAAATAAACATGAGGCCTTAGACTTAGGCTGAAATTAAACTCAATTCCTGGTTGTGGAAATTACTGGGAACATAACACAGTTGAAGATAACCTACTATCCCGTCAGTATGCGTAAGTATAGGGTTGTTCGAGAAATTTTATCTGCCATAGCCACGATGGAAATGCAGTAGCCAAAAGTCGCCATCTATTTGAAATAAAAGGTAATGTTGTTAAAATATTGTGTTAGATGGCATAATGTGAACTAGATGGTGCTGCTGTTCAAGATTGAGATTCAAGTCTTGATTTTTTTATGTAAAGGCGGGCCATTAGCATAATAAAACAAGAAATGAAACAAATAAAGGCAATGTTTAGGGTAGGATGTTTAGGAGACAATAACTTGACTTCAAATTTCATTTTTCCCATATTAATTTTTGAAAAATTATATTACAATAGTTTTAAACATATCTTAATTATGCTTATATGTGATTTTTTCGATTTTCAAACTTTATTTATTCATTTTTACTATTAACAGAATAAAATTTAAAATAGAACAACTACAGAAATAGCGAGTAGTTACAAACGTGTAAATTGCCGTTTTATCGAATAGAATTAATATTCAGAAAACATTAACAGAAATGTAAAATAATTAATTGAATTCATTCATCAGGTACTGTCATATTTTTAAATTTCATCAAATTGATTTTTCAACAGGACGGTGCTCCTCCGCATTATGCGTTAATTGTGCGTCAGTATTTGGACCAACGCTTTCTAGGGAATTGGATTGGGAGAAGATGCAGCATTGAGTGGCCTCCACGCTCCACGATCACCGGATTTATCGCCGCTTGATTTCTTTTTGTGGGGATATCTAAAAAGTAAAATCTATAAAACACAGCCAATAATACTTTTCTTTTTAGAAAAATATTTTCTACATAAAAATATTTCTCTGCTTTCTATGGAAGTTTCCAGTGACTCAAGGATGACTAACCGTGAGTTGACGAGTACTTACGTTATATGTAGTACTTACCCAGCCCTGTATTTCGTTGAAATGTAAATAAATGATATTTATGATGAAATATAATCTTATCAGCGTATCAGAGGAGATACGAATTACCGTGTTTTTCAGTAATAGTTATGCGAGTAGAGACCCATCGAATATTCCACCGAAGCATAATAATTTGCGTTAAAAATGAAGAAAATATTGTGTACTGTTGTCCTGGTATACATCCTAGTGAATATTAGACCAGGTGAGTACAAAGCTGAGTAAATAATCTTGTTTAAAATTATCATAATAAAATAGTCACAGATAACAAGAGATAAAATAACAGAACTTAAAATCAATCAAAAATTAAATTACAATATAATGTATACTCTAATTGAAAACTAGGTATTAATTACAATTTTGTAGTTGTTACGTTTAACCTTCGTTTATAAGAGTGCCTACAGGTTATGTAACATTTTTATTGTCTAATTGATACAAAAATATCGAGAGCAATATCAAAATGCTATCTAATTCGTTATAGAATAAATAAATTACAAGTACCTACCTACGTACTTTCAAATCTGCTAGGATGATTCAAAATTAGTTGTCTATTTGTGTATACATGACGTAAATATTTGCACATATAGAGTCACATTGGCTGAGCTAATAAAATTTTGTTAATGATACGAGAAATTCAGCGCGAATAATTTTTTGTTTAACTACAAATAAACTAATGCAAAAGAATTTCCGAAATTTTTTCGTGATTTTTGACAGGCTATATTTCGGTGAAAAATGGTCGTATCGGGAATAATAAAAAAGCATTTTGCAGCTCTAAGATTCTAGTTTTTAGATCTTTCAGTCGAAATTTTTTAGGAGCTACGGTTATCATGCAATTCTAATAGCGCGACAAAAAAATTTTGCAAATTTTTTTCCACGGACGTCCACGTTTTTTTGAGGTTTTCTCACATGTTTACCGCAAATGACGTTTAAATTGATGGAAAAAAAATAAAAAAAATTGTTTAAAGAAAAAGTGTAATTTTGAATAAAACTGTTTAAGTGATTATAGACTGCACAAAAATTAATTAGAAATTTGTCTCAAAAAACGGTATGAATCGAGGTCGAAATCTGGTTTGGCTCATTAACTTTAATTTTAATTTAATTAAAAGTTGATGAACAGAAGCATAGGACGGAAAAGCCGAATCGTGCTGGAAACAATTGGATTTTGTTTTCTTCGATGTCCGGAAGGTTTTCAAAAAAACAAAAAAAATTTCGAACATTTTTTCGAAATCTAAAAAAAAGCAAGAAAAAAGGTTAGGCGGCCAAAAAACTGAGCTTGAAGTTTAGAATTCCAGTATAGGGCTGTTTAGTCTTATAATATTGTGGGGTATGGAGCTCTTTTTTGGTTGTTTGAACCAAAAAACTGGACCATCGCCCCCCAATAAAATCTTTTTGTTCCTGACGCTGTATCTTGTACCAATTTTTCCTTGAAAATTCCCAACAATCACCTCTAGAGTGGCGTTACCCCTTAATAGGTCCAACCTACACAACGACACCAAAATCACTCCGATCGGACCATCCCTGCGCCCAGCGGTCACGATTGAATGTTGAAAAATATATTAAACTAAAAATTTATATTAATATAATATTTTATATAAAATTACACTTATGCAAATGATCTAATAAATTTAAAAAACCCCAAAGTACCGAAGCTTATTTTAATGCTTGTTTTTAATTTCCACTTCACTTCTGTCGATTTCTGTAACTTTTATGTACTCATATTTATGTTTTTTTAAGGTTCAGCCATTAGATGTTACCAATGTGAGGATGTATTGGGCGAAGGGCTACACTGTGAATCGAATGTGAAAGATGTCTTAACTCCTAACTGCACGGAAACCTTCGTTTGTCTGAAATACATATATCACACCGGTGAGTACTAATTTTTGACTGCCAGTATTGACAGGGGGCGTAAACACCTAAAATATCGAGGTTATTTTCTAAGTCTATGTCATTAACCTTAGGAGGAAACAGCCACGGCGATCTTCGTTAGTTGAAACGGCCGTGAAACAGCATTAGCTAGGAAATAAATATTTTTCACTCCGCCACTGGATATATTTATACAGGGTGATTCAGTCATAATGTCATTAATTTTAAGAGCAGATAGAGAAAAATGAGTATAATACGACGGCGTGATTAAAAAAAAATGTAAATGCATATTTAAGCTGAAAAAAAATATTTTCAAATCATTATTTAACCCCCTTTTCAGGCTGTTACTGACCGGCTGACGTCACAATATTATGCACGGCTACGATATGAACCTATGAACAACGCGCCCTAGATGCAACGTTGCCATATTTATATATTTTCGCTCATATAAAGACAATAAATAAACGGTTTTGCTCACGTCAACCAATAATAATTTAAAATGCTATAAATTATTTTTTATTTATGCAATCAACATATTAAATTGTTATTGTTGCCCAGCAAGAACCTCGAGGTCTGAGCATGCCTTGCCAAAAATCAGTTTTTATTAGCATCATAATTTTAATATTTTAACAACATTTGCTGTAAGCCCGAAGGGGAAGGTTTTCAAACAATTCTACTAAAAATTAGTAACGCGGCCCATTCAGATGTTCAGGTAGAAAATGCGGCCCAATTAAACGATCGCCATTGACATTGACACCGAATCTCCTCTGAAAGCTATACCACCGACGAGTAGTGTGCGGGTAGTAGTGTGTTTCATCTGACCAAATGTGACTATTATGGCTGCAAAGAAATTAGCTGTTTCACTTTAAATAAGATTTAATATTGAAGTTACAAAACCCCAAAAGTTCAAATAATTTAAATTTCATTTCATAACCATTTCAATTTCGTTACAGAAATAATGTCATAAAAAACCAACACTCACTAGATAAATTATAAAGAGAGGATAAATTGTATGCAGTATTTAAATATTGACTGCAATTAGAAGAGAGACTTGTATATTCCATAAAAAAACAATGGGACGGAGACAAATAAACAACTCGGTACGTCGTGTTTCCGACCTAGGGTAACCTGTGGTTCAGTAACCTTTTAACCCAGTTTTAATTTGCACACGTGCACCATATAGTCCAGGAGCCAGATGTGCAAACAACTTATTCTTAAATATTTGACCTCTTGAATCCAAAGAAACTTGGTCGCAAAGCCTGAAAGTGGTCAGTTTAATTGTTATCAACAAATTAAATGTTTAAATGGCTGTAAAAAGTTTATTTTTATAGCTAGTACAATTTATTCGCTAATAGTTACGTTTTCTCATAACAAATATGTATTTTTTTGGAAATTAAAAAAAATTAACTTTAACCAAAGTTATTGCAAATTTAGTGCAAATTTCTTACATTTTCCGTCTCCGTGCGCACTAATTTTACCATATCTGGTTCTAAGTTCCATTTATTTATTAATTTATTTAATAATTAATGGCATCTTAGAAAGTTGTGAAATTTCAACGAAAATGCCGGTTTTAATTGTTTATAAGGTTTTTTTTATTATTCAACTTCGACGAAAAGCCAAAAAAGTTACCGGATATTGTTCTTTGCATTCTAACAATCAAGCAAGGCATGAAATCATTGTTAGGATGCGAGGAACAATAACCGGTAACTTTTTTGGCTTTTCATAAAAATTGAATAACAAAAAAAGTTTTATAAACCAATAAAGCCAACATTTTCGTTGAAATTCCACAACTTTCTAAGCTGCCATTAATTTTTAAATAAATTAATTAATCAATGGAACTTACCTATCTTGTAAAATAAAGTTTAAGTTTTAAAATGAGATGTGCGTCTCAATCCGTCCAATTGAACCAGAGATATGGTAAAATTGGTGCGCGCAGAGACGGAAAATGTAATATATTTGCACTAAATTTGCAATAACTTTGGTTAAAGTTAATCTTTTTTTAATTTTCAAAAAAATATATGTTTGTTGTGAGAAAACGTAATAATTAACAGATAAAAAATTGTACTAGCTATAAAAATAAACTTTTTACAGCCATTTAAACATTCAATTTGTTAACAACAATTAAACTGACCACTTTCAGGCTTTGCCACCAAGTTTTTTGGTTTCGAGAAGTCAAAATACTTAAAAATAAGTTATTTGCAGCCGTGGAATTCTGTTTGGCTACGGAAACCTATCTGGCCCCTAGCCCCTAGACTAATACGAGTGTAGTAGCAAAAAGTTGTCGGTCTTTTATCAAAGGAAAATCGTATCAACAAATTTAATTTAAAATCTAAAATACCGGCTGTTTTCGTAGTAGCTGTAGTCGCCCAGGTGCATCGAGTGTACGAAGTGGTCGGTTATATGTCAAATACTAACCTGGCGAGCTTGAACCTGAACTTGGCAACGCTGTTCCTTTAGCCGACAACTGTTCGTGACATTACGTTACAAAATTTTCCGAGCATCCGGGCATCGGCAGGGCAGCCCTCGTAGCGGGAGTTATGGGTTGATTTCCTTCATTTTTAAAAGTCGAGTAAAAAATTTTTTTTTCCGATTTTCTGTCTTTATTAAGCCTTCCGAATACGTGGTTAAAATTAATGACATTATGACTGAATCACTCTGTATAAGAGGTACTAGAACAGTTTTCTCTTAATAGTGAAACAAAAGACGATTTTTTTTGTAATTTTATTTTTCAACATAACCTTTAGAGAAGGAGTTCTTCAAGGGCCAATCCTGGGGCCACTGTTATTTGTTATTTTTATTAATGATCTAAGTGCTTCAGCTTGACTAAAACCAGCAGACAAGATGAATTTGATGAAGCTGTGCTTTGTGCGGACCTTAAAATATTTTTTTAATTTATTGATTGGCTAAATCACAACATAACCTCGATAACTTCGATCTACCATTAAATGTAGCAAACGTAAAATTATAGACTTTGATTTGGTGAATAGAGATACGCAGTTTACTGGTTTTGATGTTATTTTTCATTGATTCACTAGCCCAAGTTGTACCAACCTAAGTTCTAATATCCTCGGAGATTTTTGAGCAAATAAGATTTTTTTCTAATTTCAACAACTTGTATCTTTAAAACTGATGATTTCAAACTTTTGGGTTTGAGTTTTTGGGAGTAAATTAATGGCAGAATAATACACTTTGAAAACCTTCTATATTTTAAGTCCAAGAAAAATGAACTATTTTATCAAACCGTTTATTTTTTCAGACAATACTACCGCAGCTATCCACAGAGGGTGTGCTCCTGAAAGCAAATGCGAAGAGCTGAAGGCTAGTCTATCGGGTTTGGAGTATTGTGGAACATGCCCCACTTCCCTTTGCAATTCGGCCCCAATGTCGTACCGTGCGGTATCCCTATCGTCACCTATACTATTCTTTATCATAGCGTGCATTGGACTGTATCAGTAATAGAATGTATTTTTGAAAAATATATGTTAAAAGAGATGGTGAATAAATTTTTATATTTTTTATAAGGCATGGCGTCATTTCAATTTCTTATGGTCTTGAGGCCCAAAATCACAGGATGAAATTGGCGATGAAGAAAAACTGAAAAAAAAAAACAAATTGAAAATGAACTTTTGTTAAAACTTAGGATATACAATTCTAACCCCTTTGTTCGCCAATATAAACAGTATATTATTTTGGGAAAAATAACCTTTAGAAATTATTTTAATAAAAAAACATTAAATGATTTCTGTTTTTAGGAGAAGCTAATAAATATTCCGAATTTGTCCAAAATAACCAAGAGCATGTTGATCTGGAATCAGAAGCATCAGAAACGAAATCTGATTTTCCTTTGTTAAAATACGTTAATTTGATTGTATGTGCGCGCCGTGAGCACTTATCAGTGTTGCCAGTTATTACTGTTCGTTTTAAGCCAACTATATGCAACTAACGCAGTAGTAGATAACGAAACTGCAATGAAAAATAGATAGATAAACGTTATTGTAACATAAGTGAAACTAATTTATATCCTAAAATATTTTTTTTATTTTATAGAATGTAAAAGGTAACATTTCTTAAAATTATTACCCGTTTTTAAAAAGTATTTACTGTTTTTTTTAAAGCATTCTATTCATTTGGTGACTCAATGTTAATGACTTTTGCCATTGATCTAGTTTAGTTGAACTATATCACGGTCATTATACAGGGTGATTTAGTCATAATGTCATTAATTTTAAAGGAAGATGGGGAAGAATGAGTAGAATACGAATACGTGTTTAAAATTTTTAAAATTCATATTTACACTGAAAAAAAAGTTTCAAATCATTATTTAATCCTCTTTGGACTACTCCTGACCGCTGTCCTACAAAGGTTTATCGAGAGTGAATTTTGTATCTACCGTAACATTCAGCCATTAACCTAGCTTTTAATGCGTTTTTAATGCGTAGCAAATGACAAGGAGTAAACAGAGCTTTTTAGCTAGACACACGAATGAAGATATTTTTTTCAATTTTAAATATTATTAAGTATTATTATATGTTAATAAAAACAAATGTATCCTTATACATTTTTTTCTTAAAATAATTGTTTTCGAATGGTAGGTTATTACAATTTCATATTTTTAATATCGTTAACGTTTTCATTATATTTTATAATTGAATATGAGTTTTTAGTATTATGGTCAATTAATTATTCAGTTTGTGGTACGTATATCTTGTGACTTATTGCTTTCTAAAGACTAGTATGGTGCCTATCTATTTAAAATGCCAGTACGGCTAAAACCACAATCATCAGTCATCAGTCTATTGCGTTCCCGGTCAGAAGATGTATCTTTCAAAAGGTCAAATAATTTTTTTTTCGATTTTCTGTCTTTATTAGGCATTCCGAAATGTATACGTGGTTAAAACTAATGACATTATGACTGAATCACTGTATACTTAAAGCATACAACATCAACAAAATTAAACAGCGAACGAAACTGGCAAAATTTCTTTCTAAAAATATATACTCTTCCATAAAAAAATATTTATTCCATTTTTCTGTTTCGTTTGCTACATCCTTTAAAGAAATTCCAAATTTTTCCAAGTTTATAAGTTTCAAGATTATTATAATTTAAATTTCGTGGAACAAAGCTTGACAAAAAGTTTACTGCCGCGACGTTTTTTGTTATTTCTCTATAATTTTTCCAATTTTTAACAAAAAATAATTGACCTCCGCAAACAAACCTTCCCTCCCCTTGTGTACATCCCTGATTCGAGATGACGTACCTTTTAGTCATGTTAAAGAAATGAATACAATAAATCTCAATCCAAATAAACAAAATTAGTAAATTTCCATTGCTGGAAATTAAATACCTATATGGAAAATATTCTTTAGTTGTTAAATAGGCAACCAGTAATACAATTTTATAGATTTTATTACACAGTTTGTCTAAATATGAATTAATGCAAAAATAACAGACTTTCTCTCTTACTAATGCAGATTTTCTATAAAATGGACTTGGTTTGAAACTCAAACTAGGTACTTTTTGTTGTAAAGAAATTTGTAATTTGCTGCTTTTGAACAAGCAGCATCATAAATTACAAATTTCTTTACACCAAAAAGTAATTTGAGCTAGGGGGGAGCAGGGAAGTGGGCTCCACCCCAGAGAGTCGGTGCCTACCCCAGAAAAATAATGTAATATCATATCTGTCATATCGGTATGTCGGTCACTGCGTGGTCTTCTTTTTATTTTAGAATCAAATCAAAACGTGTTGAAATTTGATTTTGGTGAGTGATTGATGAGCGGAGAGCTATTTTTTTTTGAGGCCTCATAGAGCTTGCAGGCCTAGGCCCATCCCAAGCAAAAGTTGTAGGTACGCTCATGAATTTGAGTTTCAAACTAGTTTCTTTTTATAGAAAATCTGCGTTAGAATGGAGGAAAGTCTGTTGTTTGTGCACTGATTCATATTTAGACAAATTATGTAATAAAATCTATAAAAGTGTATTGCTGGATGCCTATTTGCTAGAGAGCCCTCTTCTTGATAGGGATAAGGTGACAGATAATTCCCCAACAAGTCCGTGAGAATCGTCGAGTGAAAAAGGCAAGAAAAGGCGGAAAAACATGACGAAACTGTTTTATTTGTTGATATTGGCAACGGCAAGTTTGGAATTGGGTAAGTTTTAAAAAAATGTATATAATACTTATTAATGAATGGTAATTTTTGTAAAATTAGTTTCGTTAAGGATTCATACAGAATTTAATAGTAAAAATATTCACCTCAAATTTATTCAGGTGTATGAACAAACAAATGTATGTACTGCTTACTGGTTTTGGAAATGTTTAAATAAAGTGACCATGAAGGTATATTCTGAGTGATTTCCGAGGTAATAGGTTATTAATGGAGGTGTGTCAATGGGATCTTGATAAATATCTCTTATCATTAAAAAAAATATTTTAACTTATAGCACAAAACTGACAAAGTTGAATGGATTGAATTTAGAAAAACCCAATTCGGGATACGGTGTGAGTTTGCCAAGACCATTAATCGACAGTAAGTAGAGTTCAACTGAAGCATTTTAAAGGATTGATAATGGGTGATGTGCCATTAAAACGTGACAATTTTTTAACCCTTTGGTGGACGGTCCCCCATTCAACTAAGATTTTCGGTAAAAAGATACACAAATACCGATTTTCAACAAGTATACCTTTGTTATGTAGAAGTTGGGGTAAAAAATCCTACTCTACCACTCACTCCTACGACACTGACCTACAAAATATTTGTAAATTTTACAGTTACCTGCACGCTCGTGATAATGTGATCGTTGATTGGTTTATTATAAAAAATCCACCAATCACTAACCGGTGAAAGAGGATGTTGTGTTTTATAGTAATATTGATCTTATTGTTTCAATAATTTTTAATTTCACCGAAATTTAATTGCCAAGGAAATGAAATCACTATTCCAAACAAACTTACTGTTGGTCACGTGGCTTGCAATAATTTTTGAGTCACGTGGCTCATTTTTGATAGCTCTGTGTACATAAAGCTATATAAGAAACTAAATTTTGTAAGACCATTGTTAAAAGTGTTGACAATATGTCTAGTTTAATGCGAGCTGTTTTTTTACCTAACCAATATTTGAACTTTACACTAAATTTGTTTTTAAAAATGTACAAATTATTATCAGCTCTAGTATTTTGCTTTATTTTAAATGTTTTAATATAATTCAAATTAATTCTAAAAATTTTTCTAAAAAACCTATCAAAATCAAAATATCTAACCTCAGAGAAGTTAGTAATTAACAATTCGGATTTTTAGAAACAATTTTAGAATTAATTTGAATTAACTTAATTCTTCTAAAATCAAGTAATTCTAATAATAACAGGTAATATGTAATAAAATATAAAAAAATAGTGAATTAATAAAAATCTCCATACACTTTTACAAATTTATAACATCGGGGAGACAAAAACTAATATCCTTATTTACGATTTTTTTTAGCTGCTAGCCAGACGATCAGCTGTTACGACTGTGACCCTCAGAGTTTTGTAAGTGGCTGCGACGACCCGATTGGTAACGCTGTTAGATCAACACCCTGTATTGTAGACCCTGAAGTTGTCAACGGAACCTCAATTTGCGTTTCTGCATTTTTAAATGTTACAGGTATGCCACAAAATAATATAATTATGATAGGTACATATATTTATTTTAAGGAATATTTATTTTTTTGTTGATTAAGTTAAGCAATTTAATTTTTTTACGTACTTTTGACTACACTGTATAATAAAAGTGACAAAATTTTAACCACATCGACGCGTTACTACGAAAACATGCTACCTCAAATTAAGCTTGGAAAACGTGCTAGCTCAAATCTTTAAGAAGAAAGATGGTATCCCACACAAAGGAAAATTAGAAAATATTAATCACAACCATTTTCAATAATAGATATAATTCAATATAATACAATTTAAAATTAAAAAAATTTTTATTTTTATAAAAAATAACATTTTAAATGAACGATAGCTTCATTTATTTATTTAATAATAGTAAAATAATTCCGAAATTGAAATTTTAATTAATATTTCGTTTAACAATAATTTTTGTGACATTTTGTAAATTAAAAAAAATTCAGTATAAAAGATGTATTTTTCTGGGGTTCTGGACTATTCTACGAATTCGTAAATATGTCCATTATTATTTTTTCGTCGAGCTACCCCAGTTGAAAAAAAGAAGTTTCTACAATGAATAGAAGCCGACATTGCAAAATTTTACAGCGCGCATCAATTTGAACTTTTCCACAACGGTGGATTCTTCGAAGAATTACTTTAATCATTATTACAAATTTCATTTGTTTTATTGTTAACTGTTGTAATAACATGAAGAAACACTTGGTTTGTTTCGCTTTTAATTTCTCGTATTATCAAAACAGTGTTTTTTAAATCGATTTTTCTCGAAAACGGATCGAGATACCGAAATGAAACAAGAATACATAATTAANTACCATCTGGTAATTTTAAAAATGTAGCAACGTCTTTCCCCATTGCTCCAAATTTATTAATGCCAATTCTTTGTTTGTGATATTTTCCATTTTGAAATTTAAAGAATAATATTGTTTGCGATATATCGGTAGGACGAAGATTTAAATATTTCTTAATTATAGTATAAAAATTTCCCATAACAGTGAATTTTCTGGCAATTTTTGTTTTTGTATTTGGTACACTGACCATAAAAATAGATCCATGATCTTCTAAATCTGTAAATTGCATAGAGTGCAATTCTGCTGCGCGACAAGCACCCATAATGCCCATTATTAAAGCAACCTAAAATAAATTATATTATTGACTAGATGATAAAAACGTTTGAATTTTTGTAAAAGCTATTACCTTTGTCGCCAGATATTTCTCATCAGGAGCTTCATTTATGAAATTATTAAGTTGTTCTGGCGTAAATGTTTTTGCCTTTTTAGCTATATGTTTCTCTGATTGACGTTTAAGAAACGCACGTAATTTTGAATAATTCTCTATATTAATTCCATTATTTATGTTGAGTGTGCTTCTTAGCATGGAGTAGAAAGTCCATAGAGACGATGCTTTATATTTATTGCTAAGTTCATTAAAATATGCCAAAAGCACATTTTCTGTAAACGAGTTAACGTTTTTATTGCTACACCAATCTTGAAAATTTTTATATACACCTTTATACTTGTTTTTTGATTTTTCTGGTAATAAATTCTGTATTGCATTATTAGCTACTTCTCTTATTTCTGGAGGTGTACATAATAACTCATCTTCGCTATCTAAATTCATCTTTTTTAGGACTGTTATTAGAAATTGATTTGAAAACGTCAAAATTATTTTGTTAAAATATCAAATAACATTAGTCCCCTCAATGATAATAATTGACAGTTCCGTCTACTGGGAGGCGTTGGCAATTTAATAATTTTCATCAAAAGCAGTTGAATAATTAATATATAAATTAATAGGAGTAGATAAATAAGTTTATTATACGGGTACGGTTTCAATCATTCAATGTGCATTTCAACGCCAATGCAGCCAACTTAAATTTCTCGTTAAACTTAATTTGTGTGAGATTTTTCTTAAAGTTCTGAGCTAGCATGTTTTTCAAGCTTAATTTGAGATAGCATGTTTTCGTAGTAACGTGTCGACATATTTAACATATTATTTTTTTTTCAGGAGGTGCTACCAACGCGACGGGTATATACAGGGGTTGCCGCACCTTAGGACCAGCCGTAGCAGACTTCTGCGACTGGTTCAGACAAGAGACACAAAATGCTAACATCACAGTCGTCACCTGTGTGTCGTGTAACACCACCAGGTGTAACAGCATCCATTTCAAAGATTTCACAGGCAGCGGCGCTCACTATATTTTCGCTTCCAACGGAAGAGAGTGACATGTGAATGTGCACCGTTTGTTATCAGTTAGGAGTATTTGCTCTTGAGGGTTTTGTAAATACATTTTTTTTCTTTTATATTTTGCAAATTATATTGAAAACATTGCAAAACTTCTTTTACACGCAACCCGGCATGTGTTCTTAAAACCATTTTTTTTTTTTAATTTAATTAATTTGATAAAAGTAATAATTTTTTTTTTCGAGAAAAAACAAATTTCAAATTTCTAACCTACACTTCACACAATACCTGACCTTTTCATACTGTTTACAAGATTATTTAATCTAGATGGTGATTCACCCATTAATTTTAAAGGAAGATAGGCAACAATGAGTAGAATACGAATATGCGATTAAAAAAAATTAATCCATATTCACGCCGAAAAAAATATTTTCAAATCATTATTGAAACCGCTCCTCGGACCGCTACTGACCGCTGTCCTACAAGTTTATCGAGAATGAATCTTGACTTACCGTAACATTCGGTCATTAACCTAGCTTTTAATACGTTTTTATATGTAGCGAACGACAAGGAATAAATAGACCTTTTTACATAGACACATGAATAAATAAGATATTTATTTACATTTTAAATATTACCAAGTATTACTTATTTGTTAATAAAAACAAATGTATAAGGATAATAATTGTTTTCGAATGTTAGATTATACAATTTAGTATTTTTGATATTGTTAACCTTTTCACTATATTTTATAATTGAATATGAGTTTTTAGTATTATGTTCAATTAATTATTCAGTTTATAGTACGTATACTTAGTGACTTATTGCCTTTCATAGAGTAGTATCGTACCTACCTATTTCAAATGTCAATGCGGCTAAAACAACGCTCATCAGTCCAGTGCACTTTATTAATAAAGGTCCTCTGCACTTTGACTTTGAAAAGAATTGCAAAAATCAAAACGATTAGGGAAATCAGCTGTTTCGTTTCAACGTTCGAACGCTCTGTGGTGCGCCGGAGCTTCCCGGTCAGAAAATGTGACGTCATTATGACTCAATCGCCCTGTATATTCATATAAAGTATACGACATCAACAAAATTAAACCGCCAATGATACGCTGAAGTGGGTGTTTTGTTTGCTAGAATGTTGTGTTGACTGGGAATACTAGTATGGTTATTTGTTATATACAGGGTGATTCACAAACGGTGACCAAAAGATACAGGGTGTTAAACTTAAAAATATGTTTTTAATTTTTCACATAATCTAGTAAGTGAAATAATTTGAAATTGGGTACAGGTATTTACGTAAACATTATTCAAAATCTGAGGCCTTTTCCTAAAATTTAAATGCTCCAGTGGCGGTGGTATATTTTTCTAAATAAAATAGTACGCCACTGCTTTACGGTAAAAATCATGATATTTTCGAATTCATCTTTCAATTTTTTAGAAATTAACACTCTTATGTTTTTCAAAAAAGCCTTATCAGTCGCGTTGATATCCATTTTGTTTTTCTTTGCTGGAAGAGGCAGTAATTTTGAGTGAAAAAAAAACCACTTTTTTCAAAGTATTTTTCGCGAATAACTCAAAAACTACGCATTTTATTAAAAAAAAGTGTGATGAACAAAAATGTAGCTTATAAATAAACAAAGAAAATCGTTTTTTAAAAAGTGTTGTACATCCTATACAAAGCGAACTGGTTAGTGGAAGGGGACTTGTTTTGGGGGGAATACTCGAATCGATGTATTCAACGTCAAATAACGGAAAAAGAATTAATTTTACGTGTATAACGCTCCTGGAGTTTTTTGTAGTACTCAAAAAGACCTTCAAAAAGTTATTTAGAGCAAAATTGAAGAAGTTATCGTCAAAAACAGATGGGTCATATTTCTTAAGGAAAAATGAACAGTAAACGCTGTACCATTTCCATCAGAATTAAAATTAATCGTAGACCCTTTACAATTAGTTTTGTTTTAGTGTTTTTCATACGATCCTGAAGTTAGACCGGTTTAGAATGCGTATATTTTGAATAATGTACGGTAAAAGTTGAAAACGTATTTTGCCTTATTTATATAAACTTGATATATCTGAAACTATGAAAGAAACGTAAAAAATGATACACAACATAACTGTAGCTTTTTTTTTAACAAATATTTAGCTTTTTTTTTATTCCTATAGGATACAAAATAAAGGAGATATCGCCGCTTGAAGTATCCATTTTAGTGAAAAAACGACCTGTCTCGAGCCCTTCGATCCTTTCCCTTTAAAAAACGAAGGACTTAAAAGGTTTTATACGATCTTACAGCTTTTGAAATTATCTTTAAAATGCTTTTTTGTAGGATACTATACAAAATTAACCGAGTTATGACAACCAATGACATTTTTTCGGAACAAAATAGGCTTTCTCATTTTTTGAGCAAAATGTTAGGATTCAATAAAAATATTTTACATTAATATTGGTAAACGGGTAGTTTATAAGAGTTGAAAATGGCAAAAGCAAAATATTCTTTCAAACAATATAAGTGAATTTTTATTTTATATTATTAAACAATTATAGCATTCCACGATTTAAAACGTAATATTTTTTAATTTTTTTTAGCACACCGGTGATTTATAAGGGTTGAAAAGTGTTATGAGGTACAAATTCTTTCATAAGCAATGAGGGAATTTTTGTTTTAAATAATTGCAGCGTTAAAACATTCCAAGCTTTTAAAAAGTATTTTTTTATCATTTTTGTGAATGCAGGGGTGGTTTTTAGGGGTTGGAAGAAAAAAATTCTTTTATTAGCTATAAGGTAACTTTTATTTTAAATAATTGCACGATTTAATCATTCCAAATCTTTAAAAAGTAATTTCGTTATTTTTTGCATAGGGGTAGTTTTTAAGGCTTAAATAAAGGTTCGAAAAGATCAAGTATATCATAAAACATGTTCGAGAACATGGAACATTACTTAATCTTTGTGCTTGAACAAGATTTTTATAAATAAAATGCTAAAAACTTAATTTTTCCAATTTTTTTCACTTGGGGGTAGTTTTTACCACTAAAGAACAAAAAGCGTCAATCGGGCTTATGTCACTTTTGAACTTGAACCTAAGATGAACCTTATTCTAAATTTTCATGCAAATCCATGCAGTTTCAAAGAATTCGGAGGTTACAGCTGATTTTCAACTTCAATGACTGTACTAGTGGGGTAGATATCTTTTGGATATCTAGATTTCTGGCGTCGAAAACATTGTTTGACTAGATAAAAAACTGAATTTGTTTGAATTTGTTGATGCAATTAAATATTAAAAGTCACTTAAAGTTAACGGAATTGGTACCGTGATAACTTGTCCAGTTTCCTGATATTTTTATTGTACTAAAAATTGGTGGCTGGTGGGTTTTGGAACAAAGACATGGCTGCTTGAAACTGGCAATATCTCTTTCTAAAAACATATAGGCTCTTCCATAAAAAATATATATATACTCGTATTCCATTTTTTCTGTTTCGTTTGCGACATTCTTTAAGAAAATTCCAAATTTTTCCAAGATTATTATTTAAATTTCGTGGAACAAAGCTTGACAAAAAGTTTACTGCCGCGACGTTTTTTGTTATTTCTCTATAATTGTTCCAATTTTTAACAAAAACTAATTGACCTCCGCAAACAACTCTTCCCTCCCCTTGCGTACGCCCCTGATTCGAGATGACGTACCTTTTAGTCATCTAAAAAAAATATATACAATAAAGTTCAATCCAAACAAACAAAATTAGTAAATTTCCGTTGTTGGAAATTAAATACTGATAGCCTACCTACATGGGAAATATTCTTTAGTCATACGCCGTTAAAGCACACATCATCGGATTGATAAGTGTAATACCTTTATCTGCTTCTTGATAGGGATAAGGTGATAGATAATTCCCCAACTAGTCCGTGAGAATCGTCGAGTGAAAAAGGCAAGAAAAGGCGGAAAAACATGACGAAGGTGTTTTATTTGTTGGTATTGGCAACGGCAGGTTTGGAATTGGGTAAGTTTTAAAAAAATGTATATAATACTTATTAATGAATGGTAATTTTTGTAAAATTAGTTTCGTTAAGGATTCATACAGAATTTAATAGTAAAAATATTCACCTCAAATTTATTCAGGTGTATGAACAAACAAATGTATGTACTGCTTACTGGTTTTGGAAATGTTTAAATAAAGTGACCATGAAGGTATATTCTGAGTGATTTCCGAGGTAATAGGTTATTAATGGAGGTGTGTCAATGGGATCTTGATAAATATCTCTTATCATTTAAAATAAATTATCGAAATAACCCAATTATTAACTTATGCCACAGAATGGACGGTTTGAAAGTTAGGTGTTTACTTGTTCATTGTTTTAGTTTTTTTTATAATACAAAGTGGAGGTACCTAACTGTTCCTTTTTTTATCCAACAGTTAGATGTTCTATTACTAATTTTCTTAACGAAAAAACTGTACCAATTTTTGGGATACTATGTATTTCAAATAATTAAGAACAAGTTTTTCATATACTTCTGCATATTTTTAAATAATCATTTTCGGCATAGCTCATTTTTTTCCAAAAGTTCTCGAATGTTATTTGAGCAATGATTAGTACCCTGTAATTAACAGGATCTATTTTTTTTTTAGACACAATGGAAAAGTAGCAAATCAACAGAAAAGATTTTTAACTATTGCTTATATTAGTTATATTTATAGTTTTGTTTTCAGTAATGTTTTAAACATACCTATATTTTTTCACCTTGTTATGTATCTAAATGTTACTAATAACATCCGAGAATTTAATAAAAAATTTAGTTACGGCATAAACAATTTCGATCATTTAAAACACATATATTCGGAATTTATTGGAATCCTTATTTAATTTTTGTAACAAAAAAATGTTCACGGGTAACATATCCTTAAACTACCGAGTGAATGGTACATATACCTGACGTGTTTTCACGAGATCTATCCCATAAAAGAAAATTAGTAAAAATGGGTCAATAAATTAAAACACACTGTATGTATAGGCGTAAAACATTATCGTTATGAAATACATACACAAATACAACTCAGGGGGTATTTTTAAGGGCAACTTATAATATCCTCCTTAAGAAGAGGATTTTTAATCCACCTTATAGTTAAAAAAAAAACCGTATTATGTAAGGCACGATCTGATTAGCCTCATAGGCCAAACCAATAGACATTTTTTGGCACACTTAAATATTACAGCAAATTTCATGTATTACCTTTTGTAAAATACTTAGTAAATGAAAACCCAAGTGATTTCCCCAGCAAAGTCATGAATAATTTGTTTTAAACAATAAAAACTGCAAAAAAAATTAAATTTTTTTGTTTTTTTATAATATCTCGAAAAATAATGACGGAATCGTCTTACTCTCAATAGGACTTTTGTAGAGAATAAAAAAACCTATAAAATGGTTTTTTGTGCCACCCGATCGGTTCATTTTTTACAGAGAAAATCAGGAAAAACCTCTAAAATAGACCTTTCTTCAAAAATTCATAACTCCGTCAAATTTGAAGCTGGAAAAACAATCTTGCGGAAAATGACAGATAATAATATGTAGTTTAATCGTGCGCACGATGGTTTCTATCCGATGCATAGTTTTTGCACAATTGCATTATAAACAAATTAGGGTCTTTTTTGCACAGCGTGGCGATTTATCAAAAATGGCCAGATTTAAATTCTGAAAACGGCATCTGAAAGTAGACGACAAAATCTCCAATTTGTATATCTCGGATTTTCGTCTGGGTGATGGGAAATATGCTAAAAATGCCCTTGAAAGTCGCTCGAAACTATCGAAAGTACGTTCGAGCCAGAGTTCTCCGCTTGCTGCTTCCCCGACTACCGCTCCCAACTCTTACGACCATTTTATAGGTTTTTTATTCTCTCCAAAAAAATCATTATTTTTCGAGATTTTATAAAAAAATGTAATTTTTTGCAGTTTTTATTGTTTAAAAAAATTGTTCACGACTTTGCTGATAATTTTTAAAGAAAAAAGCGAACTTTACACACACCCTGTACATATATCATCAAGGGTCCAAGTTGGTTTATAAACCCTTAAATAATTTTATTTTAATATACCCTATACAGAGTACCATTTCCATTGTACCACCAGGGGGTACCACCAGGGTCCATTTTCAAATCCTGCATATAACTTTAGTTCTTTTTAGTACCTACTGAAATACATAAAAATGATAGTATTCGTTATAATAACTTTTATCAATATGTCTGTATATTTGCTCTGTAAATAAGATAAATAATTGGAATTTGTAACAGATAAGCGATTTCACATTATTTTTTAATGTAATAAAATAACTTCTTATAAATAATGAACGCCGCCTTCTAGTGGTTTTCTTTATTTAAATATTAAGCCAATTCTAAGCGTTTTTCAAAATCTTAATAAATGAAGTTAAATCGTATTCTTTGATACCAAATATCTAGATATCTATGCAAAAGAGATCTAATTTCATAAACATGCTAGTAATTAAGAATTATCAAAAATAAATACTAAGAATTATACATATATCTAAATATTGTTATTGGATAAAACGCATACCTGATATATTAAAGTCATCAAATAATGTAGGTAATCTTAAAAAAAATCTTTTATCCTTGTTTTAACATCACGTAATTATAGCCACGATAGATAAGTCTCAATATTTCTGCATCTTTAAGGATTGACTTTACAAGTGGCCGAAAGTGGATATACAGGGTGTAACTAAATAAGTGTAAAACATTTAAGGGGGTGATTCCTCATCGAAAAAAAGATAGGATATTTCATATAAAGAAACTTCATTGGATCATCCCTTGTTAAGATGCAGCCCCTTAAAGGGGGTACATAAAATTTGTTTAACAATTTTTTTCACAAGCACTAAACAAGTTACAATATTGAAATTAACCTGACATTTTCTACTACCAAAAAGACACTTAGCCAGTAATTTATTTGGTTTACCCCATGGTTGTAAGGGGTGGAAAACGCAACCCCTAAAATTTATTTCCAACGTAATTTTTTGTCTTATTATTTTTTTACCATTTAAAAAATTATTTCCGATAGCCTGTTTCATTCTAAAAAAAAATGTCTCTTGAATTTTTTGCCCAAATTAAACCAGTTCGCAGCAAAAAATTATTTTACGAACAACTACAGAGATACATCGTCATAAATGCGGACTGGATTTACTGTTATTTTGTAGTTACTACCTGCATTAAATGATTAAAGGGGAATAATCAAAACTAATTTAATAATAACAAAACATACAACATGTAGAAATCATAGTAAATGTTCAATATGTCTACCTTCAGACATTACGCATGCGTCTAGACGTCGGCGCATTGAGCCACGTATTCGCTCAAATATTCCTGGAGTCTCTCTAATTACCCTGCACGCATCGATAATGCGGTTTCTTAAGTCCTCTACATCGCGAACAGGAGTACGATAAACCAAATGCTGCAAATGGCCCCAAGTAGACAAATCCAGAGGATTGAGATCCGGGGATCGAGCGGGCCAATTCTGTGGTCCTCCTCGACCTATCCACTGATTTGCATATGTTTCAGTTAAATGCTGACGTGCTACTTGACTAAAATGGGCGGGAGCCCCATCATGCATAAAAACCATATCCCTTCTGACGCCCAAAGGAACTTCCTCCAGCAGTACGGGGGGATGCACTTTTCTTAAAAATTGAACGTATGCCTCACCATTTAATCGAGGAGGTAGAAAATGAGGCCCAATTAAATAATCCCCAATAACTCCGACCCACACCTTAAGAGAAAACTGTTCTTGATGGTTAGTTTCGACAATAGCGTGATGGTTTTCATCAGCCCATATGTGGTAATTATGAAAATTAATAATCTTGTCCCGAGAAAAACTACATTCGTCTGTGAATTCGATCGTCTTCAGAAAGTCACGATTTCTTCTAATCATTTCCAGCATCCAATTGCAAAATTCAAGACGGTTCGGAAAGTCTCGCGGTAACAGTGCCTGTACTCGTTGCAGATGGTAAGGGTATAAGAGATGTTCCTTTAAAATTCGAAATACCGTCATATGATCAACATTTAGCTGGAAAGCAATCTTTCTAGTACTGGTAGTAGGTTGTTCTTCTATCAAATTAAGTACTGCTGCCTCAAGCTGTGGTGTTCTTACTTCTCGATGGCGACCACAATCCTGCGTTCTTTTGTTGAATGAACCATATTCACGTAATCGTTGATGAAGTCAGACAAATATTCTATGTGAAGGATGCTGCCGTTGAGGATACATTTCAGCATATCTTGTAGAAGCTTCTAACCCATTCCCCTGCGACAGACCGTAAACGTAATGCATATCAGCCATTTCCTCATTTGTGTATGCCATTTTAATAACAAGTGAATTATTAAAGTAACAAATTAAGAACAGAACAATACACAATTAGTATTACTTCAATTTCAAAAATTTACAAACTGACAGCTTGATTCCAATTTAATTGTCAGTATCGCTAATGGCGGCCTACTAGATAAATTAGTTTCGTATTTTCGTTTTATGGCGATATGTATCTTGTTCGTAAAATAATTTTTTGCTGCGAACTGGTTTAATTTGGGCAAAAAATTCAAGAGACATTTTTTTTTAGAATGAAACAGGCTATCGGAAATAAATTTTTAAATGGTAAAAAAATAATAAGACAAAAAATTACGTTGGAAATAAATTTTAGGGGTTGCGTTTTCCACCCCTTACAACCATGGGGTAAACCAAATAAATTACTGGCTAAGTGTCTTTTTGGTAGTAGAAAATGTCAGGTTAATTTCAATATTGTAACTTGTTTAGTGCTTGTGAACAAAATTGTTAAACAAATTTTATGTACCCCCTTTAAGGGGCTGTATCTTAACAAGGGATGCTCCAATGAAGTTTCTTTATATGAAAGATCCTATCTTTTTTTCGATGAGGAATCACCCCCTTAAATGTTTTACACTTATTTAGTTACACCCTGTATAAATATTAATAGAACTTGATAGTCCAGGAACGAAGAGAAAAATAGGGTAAAACTTCCGAAACTAATAGTTACTTTGACCTTAAAATATTTTTATGGCGCATATATTATAGATACAAATCTTTTCAATAGTTTATTGTATATAAATAATTTATTACAATATTTCAACCCTTAAAAAATTACCCGTGATAACAAAATTATTATTATTATATTATTATTATTTAAAAAAAATTGAAATGATTTGATGGTACAAACAGGATAAATTAAATTAGAGGTAATCATAGAATATAAAAAAAATCGTAACTAATAAAAATCCTCTGGGGATACTTCCATACATTTTTACAAATTTACAACATCCAGGAAACAAAAACTAATATGCTTATTTACGATTTCGTTAACATTTTTTTTCTAGCTGCTAGCCAGACGATCAGCTGTTACGACTGTGACCCGCAGAATTTCGCAAGTGGCTGCGGCGACCCGGTTGGTAACGCTGTTAGATCATCACCCTGTACTGTAGACGCTGACGTTGTCAACGGAACCTCAATTTGCGTTTCCGCATTTTTAAATGTTACAGGTACGCCACCGAAAAAAACTAATTTTTTATTGATTAGGTTAATTATTTAAATTTTTTTTACGCACACTATAATAAAAGTGCCAAAATTTTAACCACATATTTAACATATTACCTTTAATTTTCAGGAGGTACTACCAACGCGACGGGCATATACAGGGGTTGCCGCACCTTAGGACCAGCCGTAGCAGACTTCTGCGACTGGTTCAGGCAAGAGACACAAAATGCTAACACCACAGTCCTCACCTGTGTGTCGTGTAACACCACCAGGTGTAACACCATCGGTTTCACAGATGCCGGAGGCAGCGGCGCCCACAATATTTTCGCTTCCAGTGTCTTCATCCTCATCTTCAACGCTGTACTTGTAACGCTACTCAGCGGGAGAGAGTGACAGGCGAAAGTGCACAGTTTGCTATTAGTTACACGAGTATTTGCTCTCGAGGGTTTTGTAAATACTTTTTTTTTCTTTTATATTTTGCAAATTATATTGAAAATATTGCAAAGCTTCTTTTACACGCAACCCGATATGTGTCCTTAAAACCATTTTTTTTTTTAATTTAAATAAATCGATGAAGTAATATTTTTTTTTATTTTACGTTACTACTAACATTTTCCATTATTCGGGATACTGAATACGAATCTAAGGTTATTTTTGTGTGGTGGAACCTTATTTTAGAGAAAAAATAAAATTCACAATTCTAACCTATACTTCACACAATGTCCCACAATATTATTCGATCTAGAGGGTAACGCAGTCATAATGTCATTAATTTTAAGGAAAGATAGGGAACAATAAGTAGAATACGAATACGCAATTAGAAAACAATTGAAAATCCATATTTACGCCGAAAAAAACATTTTCAGATCATAATTTAAACCCCTCTTGAGGCCGCTCCTGACCGCTGTCCTACAAAGGTTTATCGAGAGTGAATTTTGACCTACCGTAACATTCGGTCATTAACATAGCTTTTAATGCGATTTTAATCCGTAGTGAACGACAAGGAATGAATAAGATATTTATTTACATTTTAAATATTACCAAGCATTACTTATTTGTAATAAAAACAAATATTTAAAATAATAATTGTTTTCGAATGTTAGGTTAGGTAATACAATTTAGTATTTTTTTTATCTTTAAATCGACTAAAGATAAAAATTTCAGTGTCGTCCATAGAGGTAATTGAAGGGGTACAATCGAAAAAAATATGTTAAAAGTCAAAATTTGTTACATTTCTAAATTTTAAAGCATAATCCAAAAAAAGGTATACTTGTAGAAATTCGGCCCCATGTACCATTTTCGAGAAATATGAAATTGCATAGAAGTAAATGGGGGACAATTTCAGCATCTACTATAACTATAGTATTTCCAGTTTTGCTCATTTATTTAATCGTGCAGCTATTTTGTTCTGTCTGTCTCCGACTCTGTTTCCTAATATTGTCCTGTTCTTATCACTTTTTTTAAGGATTCATGTCCATCTACAATTCAGTCCATTCAACAATTGTTTATTTTAGTAGTGGTAGTGTAGTAGTTTACAAAATCTAAAATTAGTTGTTACTTTACAACAAGCTTAAACTTTTTTTATTTCCTTGACTTAAGATAATGTTTTACAATTTAACTGTTTTGTGATACGTAAGAAATTAAAATTATATTCATAAATGCAAAGACTATTGGTAGCTAAATGTCTTCAGCTCATTCAATGGTAACTTCAATGTACATTCAATACAATAGATACATACAATACAGTACAGGGTGGGCAAATAAGCGAGGTAAGCGGCTGTATCTCAGAAACTAGTGATCGTAGAGAGCTACGGTAAAAATTTTTATTGGTAAAGTGGGCAAAGGAAAATACTGGAAATTATTTTCAAGTTTCCAAAATGGCCGCCAGTGGGCGTTTCCACCATATTGAATTACATAAAGTTACGTTTCTCGCGATTTTCCCCAATGAATGTAACAAACAAGTATTTGCATTTTAATGTTAACTTAAAGTCGAACATTTTTTGTAAAAACAATTTTTCTCTATCTTTCGAAATAAAGTGGTGGGGGGTATTTGAATGTTGTTTGAAATAAATGCCTGTAACTTCGAAACGGCTTAATGGATTTGGATAAATTTGGTATCATTGAAAAGAGCATTTCTTGGGCTTTTAGGTTTCTCGTAATCATGACAGTTGCGACCTACACGGCCGCCGATAGAGGGCGTTATTCGATATTATAACCAAAATATTGGATTTTCTCAAAAAATTTAAATGCGATGATATGACTTTTTTTAGACTAGAAAATAGACAAATGACCAACCAATAAGCCTGCGCAAACCGCATCTTAATATCTTTTTCCTAACTCAAATTATTTAAAAAAATACTAAACCAGGAAAATTCATATATCCCCATTTAAAAATGCATCGGTTGCTTTCGATAAGAAGGCAAGTAGTAGGCCATGGACACGACAATCGCCTAACAAAAATATTGCCAAGTAACGTCAAACTTTTGTCACACGCAGCCTAATATTGTTGATTGCGTATAATTTGAGTACTTTTTAATCAAAATGCCTCTCACAAATAATGAAGCCGTTGACATGATTGCGATTTATTTCGAGTGTTTTCAAAATGCAGCTATAGCTGCAAGACAGTACGCGGCACGGTATCCAGATCGCCGTCATTACGGGAGAAGAATGTTTCCGCGCTTGGTACAGCGATTACGCGATACTGGAAGTTTTCGTCGTCCTAAACGTCGCAGGCGTCGCAATGGAAGGACCGAAGAAAACATTATCAATGTCTTGGCTTACATAGAATTTGATAGACATGTAGGAACTAGAACATTGTCTCTAGACTTGGGAATAGCACGAACAACTGTTAGAAATATTTTGAAAGATTATAGGTAAATAATTTTATCTTATTCCAAGTATCTTAGCACATACTCTCAAATACACAATTCAGTGTTATTCTGATTATATTATTTTTACGCATATGTTGTTTTTTACTTTTAGATTACATCCTTACCACATAGTTTTGCACCAGGCGCTAAATGAACAAGATTTCGATAATAGATTAAATTATTGTCAATGGATGCTAGGCATGCTTGAGGAAAACAGAAATTTCTTAACGGAAATTCTCTGGACCGACGAGGCTACCTTTAGTAGTGATGGTAGAGTAAACCGTCATAATATGCATTATTGGTCCGCTGAAAATCCGCATTGGTTAAGAGAAGTGCAGCACCAGGGACGCTGGAGCCTAAATGTGTGGTGCGGTATCATTGGGGACAGAATTATTGGACCTTATTTTTTTGATCAAGCTTTAACTGGTAACCGCTTCTTAGAGTTTTTGATCAACGACTTGCCAATTTTGTTGGAAGATGTGCCACTCGAAACTAGGAGAACTATGTTTCTGCAATTAGATGGTTGTCCGGCACATTATTCAATTAATGTCCGAAACCATATTAACGGGACCTTTCGAGAACGCTGGATAGGAAGGGGAAGCCTATTTCCTTGGCCGGCAAGATCTCCGGACTTGACATGTCTTGATTTTTACTTGTGGGGACGCTTAAAAGACATTGTTTTTCAAACTCCACCAACAACACGAATGGATATGGAAAACAGAATTCGAAACTCAATTCGTCAACTATCAGCGGTAGAAATCGAGGCTGCGGTTCTGTCGACTCAAGAAAGACTGGAACAATGTGTGGAATATGACGGAAGGCAATTTGAACACAGAAGGCATTAATCTTTTTTCAAAATCGGTCCTTTTCAGGACCACAACTTTATTTAAAAGGAAAATCGCTTATAAATACGAAAACGTGCGACTTAAAATCACAGCACTAAATAAACTGACATTTCTTGTGAATATTTTAGAGAGGAGTTTGTCTTTTATTTCCATGGCCTACTACTTGCCTTCTTATCGAAAGCAACCGATGCATTTTTAAATGGGGATATATGAATTTTCCTGGTTTAGTATTTTTTTTTAATAATTTGAGTTAGGAAAAAGATATTAAGATGCGGTTTGCGCAGGCTTATTGGTTGGTCATTTGTCTATTTTCTAGTCTAAAAAAAGTCATATCATCGCATTTAAATTTTTTGAGAAAATCCAATATTTTGGTTATAATATCGAATAACGCCCTCTATCGGCGGCCGTGTAGGTCGCAACTGTCATGATTACGAGAAACCTAAAAGCCCAAGAAATGCTCTTTTCAATGATACCAAATTTATCCAAATCCATTAAGCCGTTTCGAAGTTACAGGCATTTATTTAAAACAACATTCAAATACCCCCCACCACTTTATTTCGAAAGATAGAGAAAAATTGTTTTTACAAAAAATGTTCGACTTTAAGTTAACATTAAAACGCAAATACTTTTTTGTTACATTCATTGGGGAAAATCGCGAGAAACGTAACTTTATGTAATTCAAGATGGTGGAAACGCCCACTGGCGGCCATCTTGGAAACTTGAAAATAATTTCCAGCATTTTCCCTTGCCCACTTTACCTATAAAGTATTTTACCGTAACTCTCTACGATCATTAGTTTCTGAGATACAGCCGCTTACCTCGCTTATTTGCCCACCCTGTACAATACATTCAATCTAATTTATGTTAAAAACGACGAAAATCTAAAAAATATTTAAGTTTGACCGGTTATAACTCGGTCAATATTAGTCCAAACACTTTTGAAAATGCATCATTTTGAAGGGAATTTCGTCTAGTTTTTTTTGTCCAGCAATTTTCTTTGCCTTCATCTAATAAAAAAAATACGGCCAAAAAAGTAAAAAAATCAAAAAATCTTATTTTTTACTTTTTTTAAATTGTTTATTAACGATTTTTGCATAACATTTTTCTTTTAAATTTTTTAAATAAGCCGTTTCGATGGGAAATTCAATTCTCTACAAAATTTTTCCTATGAACTATAGGGAAATTTTTCTTCGTTTTCGTGCCACAATAAAAAATCTGAAAGGGGTGCATTTTCACCCCTATCTCCAATTTCCACCCTCTAATTTAAAAGCACTCCGCGGTTTTTTCATCTAAAATGACCCTTTGAACGATTCATGCAATAAAATTGCTTGAACATCATGTTCCTTTTAACCCTATTTTTTTTTATATATAATCAATAACCTACTATTGCGAAGTAGGGCGCCGAGTTATCGGGAGTTACGGGGTAATCTACTTATTTTTAAAAAGGTCGAGATTTTTTTTTTCAGTTTCTGTCTTTATTGGCCTTCCGAATACGTGCTTAAAATAAATGACATTATGACTGAATCACCCTGTATACATCTTTTAGAAACTATCTATCTATAAATGAATAGTAAACAAATATTAAAAATTTAGTTTTTATATTTTGCTAAAATTAAATATCGTATAACTTTAACGTACAACTTACATTATGTAGTTTTGATAAGGGGAGAAAAAATGATAACCTTTTGACCTAACTTGATCTAAAACATTTAATCGTATTCGAAGAAATTGCTTTAAAACAATTAATTCTATACGAAATTGCAACTGATGGTATTTAAAAATGAGTGCTAAAATTTCTATAAGTATTGCCGTTTTAGTTTTCTTGAATGCAGGTAAATATATGTTTATTTATAGTTAAGTGAAAATAATATGAATCATGAGAAACATTGACATTTTTTGTAATATCTATTTTACATTACTAATTTCTTCATGAATTAATTCTTAAAGTCGCTTCATGAACAAGCTGGACAAGTGTAATTCATCAGATCTGTTGTTAAATGTAAAAAGTTATTGGAAACATAACTGAAATTTAAAAGTTTTCAACTGAATTATTAGTGTTTATTATGGTACCCACTAAACATTTTTCAGTTTCTGACATGTTCCAGAAACGTATCCATTTTTCTTGAAACGTTTCATAAAAAATCCATGCAACGTTCTGGTAACCCAATAGAAACCGAAGATGTTCGCCTCAAAATACGCTTCCAATGAAACGTTTCTAAAAATTGGTTTCAGTAACATTCTTTTGATGTTCCATTTATGCACTCGATATTTTTGTTTTACGTTTCAGTATATTTTCAGAAATGTTTGAGTAACATAATAATTTTTATACCATATTGTTCTCATAATGCTCTCAACTTTAGATAATTTCCATTTCAGAAGCGTTTTTGAAACAGTATAAACAGTGTCAGTAATTTTTTAAATATTTCTAATACTCTTTTGTAATATTTTTATTTGTATTGTGAATGACTTAATTCGTAATCCAGACAATTTTTTCTGATTTCTCAAAAAATTTAACTGAAAAATGTTATTGTATATTAAAAAAAATAACTGCTCTTCTAGTTTGGGGATGCAGCAACTTTTATCAAGAATTTTTTTCTTTTTGAGAAGCCACTGAAAAAGTTTCTAATATGG